CGCGGAACGGGCGGGCCGTTCTCACGGTCGACGTCACACGTGAGGCGTTGTCTCTGTAGCTGCGGGTAACGTGGTCGCGAGGCTTGCTCTCCGTCGCTACAGGTAGCGTGATTTCAGGCAGCGTGGCTTCTGGCGTCATGGCTTCTGGTGGTTGGGGAATAGAGCCATTTTGCTGAAAATTCGGATGCTACTTTCAAAATCAAGTTTATTTCTCTCTCTCTCTCTCTCGCTCTCTCTCTCTCTCTCTCTCTCTCTCTCTTAGTTTCTCCAAGTTGTAAATTCCCTGTGAGAAGCGCAACCGAATCTTCGAGCAGTTAGGGATGGCAGTGCGCACCAGAGAAGTAATATCATTCGCATGCATTTAATTAGCCTGGTGTCATTATCGGCTGGAAATACTGTAAATAGAAAAGCATAGAGATACACAAATGCAAAAAGCAGATCCTATTCGCTAAGGAATATAGGAACGAAATTAGGATTTAATGTCAGTGCGTAGACGCATGAAGACAAGTCTTCTCATCTAGTAGACAATTCTCGTTTAGATACATGCGTCATCACACATGTAGACATTTTATTAATGCGCCGCTACTCTTGAGGATGGAAAGGAAACTCCTAAAAGCACAACTTTGACAAACAAATCTACCTAGAGCATGGACATAGTCCAATCCAATCTTAGAGCTAAAGTGGACAAGTTACGGGAATAGGAGCACATCATCTAATCGGAGGGATCTTGCACTAAGTTAAAGGGAAACAGGGACTAGTTGAGAAGTAGAAGACAATTCGATCGCTGGGACACTATGTTTATTTGCCTGACGTTTCGAAATCTGTCGCGGATTCATCTACAGAGAAATACTCACAGAACCGCAGCAGAAACAGTTTGTGTGCACACAGGGTTGGGTAAAGATTAGGATCTGAGTTAAGTTCAAGGCTAGGGTTAGGTTCGAAGTTTTGTCAAGGGTTAGTGCAAGAGTTTGTTTAAGGGCTAGGGACCATTCACCTTTTTAATATAACGCAAGGCCTCCCGGAGATGGGGGGATTCCTATTTATTTTGTCTTACCCTACAGTTTGCACAAACATTCAGCTCAATACCTACACCGAACCTGGGATAAGTCGGAAAATTTTTGACGTGATAGTCACGATAGGTGTCTCCCAGCCACTTTTACACTCTTCCTTTTGCTTCGTGGCAGTTTTAAAAACGTCAGTGGTGGGTGATGGTTCAAGCATGAATCGCCGTTTAGACACTGTCTGCTATGCCATGCTCGGCTAAATGCGCGCACCTTCTGCGTTTTAATCAATCGCCTTCGAATTCAGCCGTCGGCGTGTAGGGCACCCAATCAGCTGTCAGCACAAACGCCGCATCGACTGCCTTTTTGCTAATCGATAAACGCACGCATAGTATGAACAGACTACCAACGAAGGTACTGCCTGAGGATGCCACTGGAACCCGCGTCGGAAGATGATGTGCAGGAGAGACAACACAGAGCCTGGATGCAGATGCTCAAACAGGAGGAGAAGAGGTCATTTGGCAAATGGAATCCCCTGATGTGTGAAGAACTTGTAAATGTGGCTAATTTTATTGGCAGTGATAAGGATGTCAGACAGCCCCCAGAATGCAATCTGTCCTTTCAAAAATGTCTGACTACCTCTGCAAGCGATTCGACGCAGCTCAACAAATCTGATAACAAATTGCCTACTGTCACTGGAGTGCAGGTGACAAGGATGGCGACTAGGGCATCAAAGGGTGCTGCACCGACCAGCAATAAATTGGTCTCTACCGGTTCCTTCAAGATATCCCGTCCGCCAGCCTCAAGTCAGGCGGCTAATGAGAAATATGTCAACGTAGACTGTGCTGAGTCCCGGCTCCAGTATGAAATAGTTTACCAACAGACGCTGGAGGAGACTAATAAACGTATGGCTGCACATGAGAAGAAAATAATGAAGGACTGGGAAAATGAGCTGCGTACCTATAAAGAGATTACTCGCCGAGCAAGAGAACACCATTCTCATCTCAGAAAGCAACGGGATGCTGGTAACGCAATGAATGATGGTAAGACAGTGTCTTAAAGCATTCTTTGTGATCTGTGAACAACGGAACCTACAGTAGGGCAGACCTAGGACTGGGTTTTCAATAAAACACGAAATAAATCAGTACGACAGCGAAAAATCAGTCAAAAGAAGACCTTATTCCTTATCTAAACAATTTGAAGAATTAATACTTATGAACACTGAAATTGCGTGCTGTGTAGAGTCAATTGTAGCAAGGAGAATGTGCTTACGGCGGCCGCCTTCAGTTACGATATAAGTATGATGTCACGGATCACAGAAAGGCTCGTGACCAAGCAATTGCCGCATTACGGATGTCGTATCGTCTTACTAGCATTTAAAGATTTCCGCATCGTTGATGGTGAATTTAGTAAGTTCCTACGAAATAGAGGGGATTAGTAGAGCGGAAATATTCGATTACTTGCGAAAGGCACAACAAGTCTTAAATGTGCAAACAGTGAAACATACATCAATTTGAATTGGAATCGACAAAGACTAGGGAGACAGGAGTGGCCATTTTTGGCTTATTAAACTTCATCAGCCAGTCATACGCAATCATAAGCGTAGTCATCCCTGACCCTCGAACCTGTGGGCTTGATATTTAGAGGTACAATGCTCTAATCACTGCCTTGCCGGCTTCGATCGGGAATATACACAACATTAGATGGACGCTCGCCGATCGGTACGGAACTCCCTCATTCCGTTGTGTTGTGGCTCGAGACACGGATCCCGACCAACCAGCAGCCGCTCAGCAACTAACGGAACGTACATGTTCCCTAGCTAGATCAGCGAGCCCCATGTGTTCATCATATTCCCGATCTCCACCGACAAAGCAACGAGTCCGTGGCGTAACGGCAGACTGTTCAACTCAATGCCCAAAGGTCCCGCCCTCGGATCTTGGGGGTCACCGCCCTCGTAATTGGGTATGACTGGCCGATGACTGCGAATAAGCCAATAATGGCATTCCGGTCTCTCTTGTCTTTGTCAATTCCAGTGCATCGTATATCACCTTAACTGCCGCGAACAACTAGGTCCAGGGGGTGCCCCCACAGTCTAGTGGACGCAGGAACGGGGAGTTCAGGGAAAATTAGTTGAAAGTGCTTGCATACCTACGCAATATCTACCCCACTCTGTCCTCCTTCTCTTGCCTAATACCAGCGGCGAGATACAGTTAGGAAGAGCGGGGGCTGGAACAAGCGAACCAGGCGTCAGCGTGTGTCACACACTCCCGACAGGATCCTTCCATAAAAGTGGGACGGCGAACAATGCTACTTACATATTATAAGTACGATTTTAATAGTTAATATTTTTATCGTGCCAACATATAAACCTCAGAAATGTTAAAGGCCCTGCCCATTTCTCAAACCACACAAAAAAAACTGAATAACCGCAGGTCTGGCCGATAAAAAACATTATCCGGCTCACCACCACGTTGGAGTCCAAACTCATCAGTTAACCCTCTACGTGGTGATTCTATTGTGACACTCAGCCTCCTAGTACGCGTCTCTATGAGGCTCCAACCCGAAATTGAATCTCTATTTCACTTACCCACAGAGCAACCAAACTTCGTACCATCACGCCGTGCCAGTCTTTTGTCAAACAGAGCGGTCGACAAGCTGCTAACGCCGGAAGAACGGATTGGCCTCCTCAGCAATCTCTTCACCTCCATTGTCTGTGAGTCCTTTGGCCTAGATATTGGGGTTCATCGGCTGCCCGTGAGCTCCGGTGGAATCGCCTATCTG